GTGAGCTCTCTCTTTGTTTCAGATTCCTAGAGCCCTCAATGTCTCTCCTGCTCACGAGGCACTAGCATGCAGGGTGCATGTTGCTCGGGTCTCAGAACCACCTTTATCCAGTCAGCAGTACTTACTGCTCTCACACTAGTGCAAGGCCATGTAGTCGGTACAGAGATCTACAAGGTAGAGCCCTTGTCCCAAGCGCAAGAAGTGGGGAGTGTAAATGGTACAAAGTGCTGTGATAATCCAGGCAGGGAGGAGCTTTCCTTCTGACTGGGGCCTCCAGTCTTCCTTGAAGATGCTGGGTCTCAAAAGCTGAGTAGAAGTTAAGTAGCTAGGATGGGGTGGGTAGAGAGGGAGGGCATTGTCTTTTGACTCTCCCTAGAGGTGTATGCTCTTAAAGGGCCTTTGGGGTTTTGGGTTGCTCTCAAAGAGGCTGTAATAATACCCACGAACATGAGCTTTCTCAACTTCCTCCCTCCTCCTGATGAACTTCATCATGACCACCTATCTTATATGGTTATCTTAAATATGTATCCAAAGCTGAACCTTTCGCCTGGACTCTGAGCCTCATCCTCCCACTACCTCATTTCTGTGTCTTTCTGCTTCATTTTCAGCCTCTCTTATCTTGCCCATTAGCCTATAAACATCCCCAAATCTCTCCTTTCTTCCAAAACAAAATACAACGAAAACTATTCCTTAGCAACTCCCAAGACAGAAAAAAAGACCATCTGTCTACTATCCTCTTCTTTCCTTCCTCCCCTCTCACACACTCAACCTGCTGTTTTTGCTTCTGCTCCTGTCAACTTATAACCACATCCACCAAGGTCAACAGTGTCCTAGTTTGTTCAACCCAAATTCACTTTTCTGTTGTTCTCTTACTTGACCTGCCTTCTTGTTTGGTTGTTCATATCTGATCTCTTGTTCTCTGGCTTGACAGCATCAATCACTGTGGATCCCTCCCTTCTTCCTGAACCTCTTCTTTGATTTTCATGACCCACTTTCTTCTGGCCTCTTTGGAATCTCATCCATGGCACTTTTCACCACTGAACCTTAAATGTTGGGGTTTTTCTTCTCAGTTTACACACTCTCCAACAGTGATTTTGTCCATTCTCATGGCTTCCCCTGCTGCCTATATGCTCACAACCCCTAAATCTTTTTTTTTCTAGCCCAGATCTTTCTGCTCATCTCCACACCCAAATAGCCAGCTCATCACTTCCATTTTTGGATAACCCACAGATACTTCACACTCAACCTGCCCCAAACAGAACACATCATGTTTTTCAATATATGATTCCTCAAGTCCCCTTTTTGGTGAATTGTATCACTGTCCTCCCCATTATACCAGTCAATGTTAAATCATACTGATTTTCATCTTAAAGATTTCTTGAAATTGTCTCTTCCTCCTCATCTCTACTGCCACTTCCTTAGGACCACAGATTCTCTTAGTACAACTGCCTTGTAACTGGTCTTTGTGCCTCCATTATTGACTACGATCTTATTCTGCAGAGTGCTGCCAGAGATCTTTCTAAAACGGAAATATAATCTCATAACTTCTCCTTAAATTTCCTTCCATGACTCCTCATTGTCTACACTAGTGTTTCTCAACTTCAGCACTATTGGCTTTTTGGGCCAGCTAATTCTTTATTGTGGGGGGGCATTCCTGTGATTGTAGGATGTTTAGCAGCATCCCTGGCCTCTACTCACCAGATGTTAGCACCCCCCACCACCCACTTATGACAACTAAAATGTCTCCAGACATTGATAATTGTCCCTGGGGGGTATTGGGGGGAGCAAAATTCTCCCTGTTTGCAAACCAATGATCTACTGGATAAAATCCAAGTTTCTTAGCATGGATACAAGGCCCTTTATGCTCTGTCCCTGCCTGCCTCTCCGGCTTTATTTGACCCTGTATTGCCCACATCTACCAGTCACCAGGAACCCTGTGGCTCCCACCCACTACTCCTTTAGCTTGACTGACTTTCTTGGCCCTCAGATTTCAGCTTAGAAGTCACCCCTCAGGAAACGGTTCTTGATGCTTAGTCTGGATTAGGTGCCAATCTTACACGTTCCTGTTGCACCTCCTGCTTCCCTCTCCTTGTTCATGTAGTGTGGCATCTGTTCGTTCACTTGTCTTTCTTTCCCAGCATCAGTGAGAGCTGGATGGCAAGGACTGTGTGTGTTTTTTACCTCTGTCCTCAGCACAGTGGCTCACTCCTAGTAGGCACCCAGTAAGTGTTGACTAAATGAATGGTTGGTACTTAATAAGGCTTTGTTGAATGAATGAATAGTCTTCCTTGAAACAGCATCTTTTCTCAGCTCTTTCACTTTCCACCATTCCATCCTGTTTATGTAATTGAAAAAAAAAGCCACTTGGTCAGTAGGTCAAGAAACAATCAGCCCCAAAGCAAGACTTTTCAGGAAAAAAAGTATGGCACTTCCAGAAAATCTATGATCTTCTGCTTAGAGGGGAGCACAAATAGTTTTACATTGTGGTTGGTACTAGAAAGTCAGGAACAAGAAGTTGGATCCAAGTGGGAAAATGGAAAAGAAACTACATTTTTCTACTGTGGCATATGGATTTCTCATTAGTCTATGTAAGGGAAAACCGGGGGCGGGAAGGGCTCAGCCACTGCAGCTGTCCACACTCTCTCCCCCCATCATTCTGCTGCCACTCCACCTGGTCCCCAGAGACACCCTCACTTCTTAGCTATGTTGGCTTAGGTATGGACAAATCCCCTTGGTTCAGCAGAAACTAGCCTGGAATTTTTCAAAAGAAGCTTTGCTAGGAAACTAGCTGGAAAAACAAAACAAAAGTAAAAACAGGAAATAGAATATAGAAATTAGAAAAATACAGAGTGCAAAAAAAGAAGAAAAAGAAAATCGCTTAGCCTAAGATAACTGAATTCTAGTATTAGCTTTTCTTGACCCAATTTATCAGGCTCATGTTTTCCTTGTTTTTTGGTTTACTTTTTTGTTTTGTTTTGCCATGATAGTGTCTTCCTCTGAGGAACTGGTCCTAAAGTCCCCCTTTTCAGTCTCTGAATATTTTCATTCTCTCACTTAAGAACCTTCTCCATCTTCGTCTTGGAAGGAGTTGGAATTGGCATTAGGGTCACGTTCCCGTATAGACAGCAAGTTACTGATCCAATGGAGGAAAGAGCTTTCCATTCTTTCTCTCAGCACAAACTAGCTCAGGCCTTCCACACACATACCTGAGGACCAATGCTCAGTGTCCATGACGGAGGTTTTACTTGCCTGGGGTGAAATAAAAACGCAGACAATATCATGAGGTTTTTAATAACACTAAAGGACTGACCTTTTTATTCTGGTGTTTTTTTTCCTTTGTTAATCTTCAGGTGTTAAAATAGCAGATGGTAGTTATTATGAGGTTTTGCTTCATTTTTTTTCAATGTCCTTATTTGGCAAAATTAAAAGTTGATAACTCTCTGTAGGTGCCCCCAGTTTTTAAAAATTCTTCCTGGTCTCTGAACTCCAAAACTCTGACCAACAGACACTCTGTAAGACTTTGAAGTGTGCCCTCTATTATTTTTATGCGTTGTGGATCATTTGAAAGGGTATTTTTACATGTAAATAATTTATTTTTCAATCCTCCTGGCAGGATGTGCTGTAGTTAACTGTTCTCAAGGGCAAGTGATACAGGTTTTGAAATTTGATGTTCTCTTCTAAGGAATCAAGTGATTGCTATAATGCGATCCTCATTTGAGATATTCGTTTATTGATTGAATGTCAGTAAATGTACCTACCATGTACTAGGTCCTGAGTGAATACAAATTTGAGTAAGTTACCGTCCCTGCCTTCAAGGAAATCCTACACTAGGGAGGAAGGTCGAGGTGTAAACAGGGGTGCAGGGTGTTGATGCTCTGGGAGCCAGGGAGAAGAAAGTGCCTAACTCCACCTTGGACGGCTTTAGAGAGGATGTAAAATTTTGCCCGAGGACAAGTTGAGGAAAGGCATTCTAGGCAGACATTTGCTAAGACTGGAGACCTGAATGTGGGCAGCACATTTGGGGATCATTCGGGCAACTTCAACTTGGGAACATGTGGGAGAGTGGCAGAGGATGAAGCTGGAAAGGTATTACCCAGTTTTAATTTCATATTCCACAGCTACCTGTTACTGAACATAAGATTTTCATACTTGTCAGCCAGAAAAAAGCCTGAGCAAGAAAGCTATATTTTGTAATGTCTTTATTCATTAGCCTTCTCTCACTTAATGGCCTTCGAGTACGCCACTGAAATTTGATGTGGGTAAATGTCTTGTGCTCGGATTTAGAGTTCACTCCCGGAGTTCAGACAAGGGAGACCTGACATAGGCAAAAAAAGCTGACCACAAGCTTACCCTGAGCCCAGATGTGCTGCAGCTGCCCCGGGAGCAGATGCCATCGTAAGGACATCTGTGGACCGTAGACTCCAAGCCAACAATGAGAGGCCTGCCGAACTGGGTCCTGGCCTGGCAACACCTGGGCGCTGTGCTCAAGTCTGGATCCGCGTGCGACTTTTTAAGGGAGATGTAGATAAAATCTAGAGGATGTCCAGAGAAGATGGCCTAGAAACCATCATACAAAGAGTAAAATTAAAAAGAAGGACCAGAGAGCTGCCATTAGTTATCTTAGCCGATTTCTTGAAGCAGAGTTGGGTGGCTTATTCTGGGTTGCAACATGGACTGGATGAAAATTAGAGAGAGACCAATTTTGGCTCAACATCAGAAATAATTTTTAAAAGGTTCTTTCTTAATTACATAGTGCTATGAGATTATTTTGACAAAATATGGAAATGTTTTGACAGAAACAAGATAATTTTTCATCTGTGGACATGCTGTAGATAAGATTCCTACTTTAAAGGGATGATTGGACCTCTAGAGCTTCTTCTGTCTTTAAATTTGGTGAAATTTTAGCATTTGGTCTTTTTTTAAGTATCTGACTCTTTCCCAGCTTTGCTACCCTTATCCTTACATTGACCTAATTAATTGTGAGTTTTCTTATTTTTTAGTATCTGACCCGAAGGATACCACAAAACCCAAAGTATCAGCATGTCAAGTCAAGACTGGACACTGGTGAGTAAAGATTAGCAAATTAAAACTTGTTTTTTTTTAGTCCAATAGCTAATTATTGACAGGAAGCAGCCTGTCATGTCTGGTATAATTCACAGCTAAAAGTTTCTCACTGTCTTGCCTCATGTCTTTCTGGGCTCTGAACTTATTTTTGAAAGCTGTTTTTCAGATTATCAGTAAAAATTTACATTCATATAATTTAGCTTATTAGAAATTGAGAATTCGGTGAAAACATTGTTCAGTAAGTTGCAGGACTGAGACTAAATAGATATCAGAAAGTCAACCTCTATTTTGGAACACTTTGTGTACACTCCTTTAAATTGGGAGTAATAGATCGTACTTGTGCACTATTGTTCATTTCGGTATTTGCAGAGTGCCAACGACATGCAAAGTTATGGACTATGGGACATATAAAGATGAGTGTGAATCATGATTTTTGCAGTCAAAGAGTTTAGATTCAAGTGGAGGCAGACAGAGTTGGATGAGTAACTATAACACAGGATTAAGTTGGTGCTGCAGTTCAGGTAAAATGACATTTAAGAGCGCATTACTGCTTGTTTCCATGCTGTTAACATTTCTCAGTGTCGTGATGAAGACCACTCCCTAGGCCCCTAGTGGATTTGCAGTCTTGTGGGATTTTGCTTGTTTATTTTGTTTAGTTTTTTTCAGCCTTTTAAAGTCTGCTGTGGAAAATCCATCTTATTAAGATGGCTTTGCTAGTGGATTGGAGTACCACGTGCCTTTTGTAAAACTAAATTTTCCACCAGTAACCTGAGGACAACTGAGAAAATAAACTGGAAGCCTGACTTTGTTTAAATCTCATTTGTCTTTCTCTTTCTCCAATCTCCTTCAAAATCATTATCTTCCATTATACGTGTTTCCTCATATGAAATAGACTTAAATGTTTTAAATGAACCACATTTACAGATACTATTTCTTGGGGCCTTTTTTTCAGACATTTCCGTACTATACAGATATTTATCCTTGCAAATATCCTGTTCAATGGGAGGTAAAAAAATACTCTCTGCTTTTGAGAAGGAAGAAATTATGGCACAGAGATTATGTGATTTCCTTGAAGTTCAATAAAAGGAGATAGAACTAGGATTTGTATGCAGGATGAGGAAGTCAGTGTTGGAGTCCTATGTACTATCTCTTAGGCCATGCTGTCCCAGTATTTCCTCCATCTTATTTCACCTACCACAAATGCCTTCAATTCGTCCATCTCTGTCTCCCCCTTAATTGCTACTGTGACCCACCCTTAATGAAATAAGCTATTCTGTGAGGGAGGCACTTTGATTAAAAATGCCATATTCTCTCTGAGGAGTCCAGATAACATTTTAAAGACCACTGGAAAGGAGTGCGTTTCTTTTGGAACCTTCTAAAATTAAAATTTTTAGAGCTGAGGTTTTTTTCAGATATGTAGATTTGTCTATATCCTCATATTTTTTTCTCCTGGAAATTGAATTGGGATCTGTGAATGAAAACCCATTTCTTTCTCTTCAATTCCTAAATTCATACCGAAGTTTAACTCAACTCTACCTGAAATTAATTTCAATTTTTTTTAAATTGATGTACTTATATCTGCTTTTTATAATACATAGTAATTACCTTTTTTATCCTGAGATTTTTAAACTAGTGTCTTTGCTAACTAAACTTTTTATTTTGAGATAATTGTAGATTCACTTGGAATTATAAGAAATAATATAGGGGCTGGCCCCGTGGCTGAGTGGTTAAGTTCTCATGATCCACTGCGGCAGCCCAGGGTTTCACCAGTTCGAATCCTGGGCGCGGACATGGCACCGCTCATCAGGCCATGCTGAGGTGGCGTCCCACATGCCACAACTAGCAGGACCCACAACTAAGAATATACAACTATGTACCGGGAGGCTTTGGGGAGAAAAAGGAAAAAAAATTAAGTCTTTAAAAAAAAAAAGAAATAATACAGAGAGATTCCATGTACCGTTTACCCATTTTCCATGGTAACATCTTGGGAAACTGTACTGCAGTATCACAACCATGATATCGACTTTGATATATACCATCTAGATACAGAACATTTCCATCACCACAAGGATCCGTCATGTTGCCCTTTAAGGCCACATCTGCTTTCCACCTTCATTCCCTCCTTAACCTCTGGAAGCCACTAATCTGTTCTTCCTTTCTATAATTTTGTCTTTTCACAAATGCTATATAAATGGAATCATACAGTATGCAACTTTTGGGATTGGCTTTTTCGCTCAGCCTAATTCTCTGGAGATTCATCCAGGTTGTCACATGTAGTTCTTCCCTTTTTATTACTCAGTAGTATTCCATGGTATGGATGCACCACAGTGTGACCATTTACCTTTTGAAGGATATCTGGACTGTTTCTACTTTTTGACTTTTACAAATAAAGATGCTATAAATATTCTTTTAGAGATTTTTATGTGAATATAAGTCTTCATTTCTCTGGATTAGATGCCCAGAAGTGCAATTGCTGGGTCATTTGGTAGTTGCATTAGTAGTTTTTTAAGAATCTGCCAAACTGCTTTCCAGAATGGCTGGTCCATTGTACATTCCCACCAGCAATGTATGAATGATCCAGTTTCTCTACATCCTCACCAGCATGCGGTGGTATTGCTGTTTTTTGTTTTACCTATTCTGATAGATGTGTAGTGGCATATCATTGCCATTGTGATTTGCACTTCCCTAATGGCTTATGATGTTGAATATCTCTTCATCATGTGCTTATTTGCCATCTGTATATCTTCTTCAGTGAAATGTCTGTTCATGTCTTTGCCTATGTTCTAATTGGATTGTTTGCTTTTTATTTGTTGAGCTTTGAGTGTTCCTTCTATATCCTAGCTACTAGTCCTTTATTGGATATGTGGTTTGCAAATATTTTCTCCTGGTCTGTAGCCTGTCTTTTCATCCTCCTAATGGAGTCTTTCAAAGAGCAAAAGTTTTTAATTTTGGTGAAGTGCAGTTTATCAGTGTTTCCGTTCATGGATCATGCTTTTGTTGTCAAATCTGAGAACTCTTTGCCTAGCCTAGGTCCCCAAAATTTTCTATCGTGGTTTTTTCGAAAAGTTTTATAGTTTTAGGTTTTACATTTAAATCTATGATACATTTTGAGGTTATTCCTGTATAAGATGTGCCACTTAGATCAATATTAACTTCGTGCTAAATAAATGTAAACTAGTGAAAATATCAATGAAAATTTTTTTTTAATTTTTTAAAGATTTTATTTTTCCGTTTTCTTCCCAAAGCCCCCTAGTACATAGTTGTACGTTTTCAGTTGTGGGTCCTTCTAGTTGTGGCATGTGGAATGCCACCTGGCTTGATGAGCAGTGCCATGTCACTGCCCAGAATCCGAACCGGCGAAACCCTGGGCCGCCCAAAGCGGAGCACACAAACTTAACCACTCGGCCACGGGGCCAGCTCCTCAATAAAATACTTTTAATGCCGAAAAAAAAAAGGATTAACTTTTTGCTTATGGATATCCAATTGCCCCTGCACCGTTTCTTAAAAAGGTTCCCTTTCTTCTATTGAATTGCATATTCACCTTGTCAAAAACATTGGGCATATTTATGTGGACCTATTTCTGGATTCTTTGTTGTGTTCCATTGATCTATGTGCCTTTCCCTCTGCCAATGCCACACAGTCTTGATTACTGTAGCTATATAGTAAATTGGATACTTAAAATTGGTTAGACTGATCACTCCCACTTTATTTTTCTTTACAAAATTATTTTAGCTATTCTAATTCCTTTGCCTTTCCATGTACATTTTAGAATAATCTTACTTATATTTACAAAAAATTATTGCCACAATTTTGATAGGAATTGCATTAAACCTGCCTATCAATTTGGGGAGAATTGAAATCTTACTATGTTGAGTCTTCCAATCTATTAACATCTTTCTGTTTATTTTTTATTTCTTTAGTTTCTTTCATCAGCATTGTATAATTTTCAGCATATAAGTCCTGTACATGTTTTGTTAGATTTGCACCTAAGTATTTCTTTTTTTTGAGCAATTGTAAATAGTATTATATTTTTAGTTTTGGTGTCCATGTCTTCATTGCTAGTATATAGAAATATAGCTTATTTTTGTATGTTTATCTTGTATCCTGAGACCTTGCTAAACTCACTTGTAACATACAGAAGGAGGGTTTTTTTTGTAGATTTCTTGGGCTTTTCTACGTAGACAATCATGTCATCTACAAAAAGGAACAACTTTATTTCTCTCTTTCGAGTCTGTATGCCTTTTATTTCCTTTTATTGCCTTATCGCACTGGCTGCAACTTCTCAAACTGTGTCAAATAAAAGTGGTGAAAGCGAACATCCTTGTCTTTTTCCCACCTTAGCGGGAAAGCGTTCAGTCTTTCATCATTAAGTACGTTGGCTATATCAGGTAGAGGAAGTTTTCTCCTATTCCTATTTTTCAGGGAGTTTTTTTTTATCATGAATGACTGTTGAATTTTATCAAATGCTTTTACTGCATCAATTGATATAATCATATGATTTTTTCTTTAGCTTGATAATATAGTAAATTTCTTTGATTGATTTCCAAATACTGTACTGGTTTTCCATCCATGGAGTAAATATTTATTATTTTGCTAAAGACTTGTATCTATACTCATGAGAGACATTGGTTTGTAGTTTTTGTTTTTGTTTTTGGATTGCCTTTGTCTGGTTTTAGTATCAGGGTAATACTGGCCTCATAAAATGAGTTGGGAAGTGTTTCCTCTTGTTCCATTTTCTGGAAGAGGTTGTGTATTAGTGGTGTTAATTCTTTCTTAAACATTTGGTAGAATTCTTCAGTAAAACCATCTGAGCCTAGAGATTTCTTTTTTGAGAATTTTTAAATTTTGAATTCAATTTTTTAATAGTTATAGGGATATTCAAATTATTTGTTTCATATTGGGAGAGTTGTGGTAGTTTGTGTTTTTCGAGGAATTAGTTCATTTTATCCAAGTTTTCAAATTTACGTGTGTAGAGTCGTTTGTTGTGGTCCCTTATTATCCTTCTGATGTCTGTAGTGTCTAAAGTGATAGCCCCTGTTTCATTCCTGATACTGGTAATTTGTGTCTTTTCTCTTTTTTTTTCTTCACTACAGAGTTGTCCATTTTATTGATCCTTTCAATGAACCAGCTCTTGATTTCATCAATTTTCTCTATTTTTTCTGTTTTAAATTTCATTGGGTTTTGCTTTTCTCTATATTATTGTCTTCCTTCTGCTTGCTTTGGGTTTATTTTGCTGTTCTGTTTCTAGATTCTTGAAGTGGGATCTTAGATTATTGATTTAGGACTTTTGCTCTTTTTAAATGCATGTAGTTAGTGCTATAAATTTCTCTCAGCACTGCTTTAGCTGTGTCCCACAAATTTTGATATTTTGTATTTTCATTTTCATTCAGTTCAGTGTAGCTTTTAATTTCCCTTGACACTTCCTCTTTGACCCATGGATTATTTAGAAGTGTGTTGTTTAGTTTGCAAGTGTTTGGAGATTTTCCTATTATTTTTCTGTTATTGATTTCCAGTTTGATTCCAGTGTGACTGGAGAACGCACTCTAATTCCATTTTAAAAAATGTATTGATGTTCATTTTATTGCTCAGGATAAATTCTTGGTGTATGTTCCATGGGCACTTGAGAAGAATGTATATACCTATACTTTTGCTTACTGTATTCTTTCTTCTTTCCTGATGTTCCAAGGCTCCTTTTTTTTTCTTTTTTCTTTTCCTTTCTAATTAGGAAACTTAATTTAGCCATTCTTTAGGATAAGTCTGCTGGTGACAAATTCTCTTAGTTTTTCTTCATCTGGGGATGTCTTGATTTCCCTTCATTCCTGAAGAGGGTTTTCTCTGGGTATGAGATTCCAGGTTGGCAGTTCTTTTCTTTCAGCACTTGAAAAATAGTGTGCCACTTTCTTCTGACCACCATGATTGTTTTGATGAGAAATCTGCTGTTATTTGAACTGTTTTTCCCATATAGGTAAAATGTCATTTTTCTCTTACTGATTTCAAGATTTTTTTTTTTTTTTTTTAGTTTTTAGAAGTTTAATTATGACATGTTCTGCTGTGGATTTCTTTGGGTCTGTCCTGTTTGGAGTTCACTCAGCTTCTATATAAATCTGTATGTCACTTGCCAAATTTGGGAAGTTTTCAGCTATTATATCTTTGAGTACCTTTTCAGCCTCACCGTCTTCCTCCTCTTTCTGGTACTTCAAGAGCATCTCATCACAGCCCAGCAAGGATGGAAATTGAGGCTCCCCACTTGGCCTTTGCTGGCAGGTGAAGGTGGGCCATAGCTTTTCTGTGGAGTTTGGCTGGAATAAGGCAGTTACTTTATGATAGTTTTCTGTCTTGCTAGACTGCCGCTTTCCTGGTCCTTTGACTGACAGCAGGCTTTTGTTGGGGATTTCTTTTTCTGTCCATTGGTATTTCTGGGTTGCTGGCTTCTTCAGCTCCAAGAGTAGGGTATATGAGGCAAAGAACAAACAAACAAAAACTCAGGTAACTCAACCATCATGTCATTCCTCAGGTTCTGAGGTCCCTAGCCAGTCGGCCTTTCTCTCTACACCTATCAAAGTCTTCTTATATTTGTTTTATGTATAATGTCCAGCTTTTTTTTTATTCAATCTTTTTTCTAATTGATGTATTTTCTTAAATTGAGATATAATTTACATACCATAAAATTCACCCTTTAAAAGTATACAATTCAGAGGTTTTTCATACATTCACAAGGTTGTGAAACCATCATTGCTATCTAATGCAGAACATTTTTGTCACCCCATAAAGAAACACCATACCTAATAGCAATCACTTCCCATTCCTTCCTTTTACCAGTTCCTGGTAACCACTAATCTACTTTCTGTATCTGTGATTTTCCCTATTCCACACATTTCATATAAATGGATACACACAATATGTGGCCTTTTGTGTCTGGCTTCTTTTGCTAAGCATAATGTTTTCAAGATCCATCATTATTGTAGCATGTTTCAGCACTTTGTTCCTTTTTATTGCCAAATAATATTCTATTGTGTAGATATTCCACATTTTGTTTATCATCTTATCAGTTGATAGACATTTGTGTTGTTTACACTTTTTGGCCATAATACTGCTATAAAACATTAGTGTACAAGTTTTTGTGTGAACATATGTTTTCAGTTCTCTTGCTTACATATCTAGGAGTTTGAATTGTTGGTCATGTGTTAACTCTGTGTTTAATTTTTTGAGGAACTGCCAAACTGTTTTCCAAAGCAGCCACACCATTTTACATTCCCACCATCAATGTCAGAGGGCTCTATTTTCTCCACATCCTTGGTGATGCTTATTATTGTCCATCAGTTTGATTATTGTCATCTTTTTGGGTGTGAAGTAATATCTCATTGTGGTTTTGATTTACATTTTCCTAATGTAATTGGACTAATTGATGTTGAACACCTTTTTTGTGCTTATTGGCATTTGTATATCTCCTATGGAGAAATGACTATTCAAATCATTGGCCTGTTTTTTAATTTGGGTTATTTTCTCTTTATTGTTGAGTAATAAGAGTTCTTTTATATGTTCTACATACTAGACCCTTATCAGAAATATGATTTGCAAATATTTTCTTGCATTTTGTGGGTTGTCCAGGTCTTCGTTGTACTTAGCTGGTGGAGTAGAGAAAAGTACATCTACCGCATCTTCCTGGAAGCAGAAGTCTCCCAAACTAGTTTTATTATAGCCTTGGAAGGGCCCAAGTGTGCTGCATTGCTTAAAACTCAAAGTATTTTAAAGTCAGTATGAGAGAGAAGTTCGATTTTTTTGTTGTTTCAAATTTAGATATTATTTTAAAGTCAATTTAAGGTAAAGATTTTATTTTAATTTTTTTCTATGCATTTTTGTGACTTACCTCCCTGTGTATTCAGTACAGTGGCCTGTGGGTTATATGCCAAGATACGTCCCCTTCAGTCCTCTGGGTAGCCAACAGGGCCTGAGGTGGCCCAAACCCCAGCGTTTTGTCCAAATATCGTCACTCATATGTGTGCCCTGAGGTGAAAAGACTGAGGAGTGTTGGTTAAGAAAACGCAAGAGTGACCTTATAGGCCAAGAGTAAGAAGCTCCCATCTATGGTGTGTTTTTAAGCTCTGCAGTCAGAGCAGTGGAAATAGGCACAGGAACAAGTGAGCATTTCTCATTTCTAGGCTAAACAGATGGGTCTTTAATCTTTTTTTACCAAACAGTGAGCAATTCAGTTATTCACAAGGAATCAAGATTTTCATGGTATCTCCTGTCGTCACCCAAATCACCTTCTACTGAGTTCTTCAAAGACTGATATCTCCTTCCTGGGTAAAAATTATTTTTTATTTCTATACATCTGACTCTGCTTCTCTTATAAACTCAGATACCGATGTATAGCCATAGCTAGAAATATCAGAATTATTTTGAATTTCAAATATTTCTTTTGTTCCATAGGTGCCTGAGTGTATCTTACCAGCTCCCCAGCATTGCAGCCTGTGCCATGAATGGATTATGCTTCTGATGAAATCCCTGACGGCGTTTTGTTCAGTCTCCACCGCAGGGTTCTTGCGTATTCTCAAGCACCCTCTCTGGGTTTCTGTTCTGCAGCACTGCAGGCTGGTTAAGGGACACATTCCAAACACAGGGCTCTCCCTTTGTTAGTCTCTTATACTCTTTTATTGCCTGCATTATCCTCTCATTTCCGTCTATATGCAATCTAATTTGAAATTTCTTTAGCTTTCTAAAATCTGTAGATTTTCTCCACTCAGTCTTTTCTAGCCTTATTTTTATATTTTTAAAATTCACCTTATTTTTGTTATCTCCACCAAACTAGTCATTTCCTTTTTTCTTCTTTAGTCTTTCCTTTTCCTGTATATTTGCTAATAGCCTTGATCTTAAGCACTCAAACTCATTACAGACTAGGTACTCTTCATTTATTTGGTATTTAATTCTGTTTCTTCTGTCAAAGGAAAAAATGTACGTAAAAGCCTTTTACAACCCAGAAAGCACTATACACTTGTATAACTTATTGAGTTTAACAAAGGACCACTGAGCCTCTTTTCTTGCTTTCTGCTCCTTCTGAGCCAAAAGAACTTCTCTGTAGAGGAGGGAAATATTGAAGAAAAATAAAGCAATGGAATTGTCTCTTAGCAACTGAGTTTGTGACTTATAAATCTTACCCACTTCAGATTACTGCTGCTCAAAATCACTTGCTTTTCTTACTGGCTCAGTACAAATAATGTTATTAAATTATAGGAAAACAAAGGAAAAAATCTAATGAATGAGTCACTCAGTTCATTGATTGTGCTCTATCTTTGTGAGCACTATTGATGTGGTTGAGTTGTTTCTCCTCTTGATTCTAATTGTAAAACATTTATTATATATCTTTTGTTGCAACTTAAATTATAAACTAAGTAGAAGCCAAATATCACCTTTACATTTCTAGGTTACCTAAGTTCTGAAACAATAAAAGTCATATAGATAGGACATAACATAGACTCTTAATCAAGTTGTTCACAGCTTAAAGAAAATCAAACATACAAAAACTCAAACCAAATTGGGGTGTGGTTATTTGCATTATAAAATAATTCATTAGGAGGATTCCTCAGATAGTAGATCTTCATAGTATATTTCATTTAGGAAATATTTTTGTATGCCTCCTACGCTAGACAATGTAAGAGGTAAAGATATTCTGTGCGTGCGTGTGTGTGTGAGAGTGTAAATAGTCTTGGGCTTTCAGTATAATAAGGTAGATAAGGCTTGTACACAAGGAAGACAGTGCAATGATAAATGCCTTGTGAGTGGCAAGCCAAGTGCTGTTCAGAAGTTCAGAGGAGGGAAAGGTCATTTCTTGCTGGATGAGCTATTATGATTATGTGGACAAGGTGACATGTTGGAGAACTGAAAACTAACTGAGAGTTTGTCAAATTCAGTAATTAGAGCAAGATTGAAGAGCAAGGTAAGGTGCTGGTGCCTTCAGCGCCAGACCAAGGAGTTTAAACTTCAGTCAGGTAGCAGTGGAGAGCCAGTGACTTTTTTTGTTTTTTAAATAAAGTCTTATCTAGGAAAATTTGTCTGGAAAATTTCAAAAATTTAAAAAAACGGTTCTCTGATAGTCTCCTTACTTTTATATAAAACAAAGATGTGTTTATAAATAAGTCAGTTATAGAATTGATTTGTTTCTAGTATTTTTAAAAGGTAGTCGAAAAACTATCTTCAGATGAAATTAGATCCAGCAAGATAAGCTGCTCAGACGAGATATAAGCAGTATATGAAGTGGGGTAAAATACTACTTTCATACTTCCTAGAATAATTGTTAGAGATTTTTGTGTTGGTTAGTCAGCCATCCTACTGTCCCATTTCTCCCATTGAAACAATGTAGAAATCCTCCATTTTCTTTTTTTCCTCTACTTGGGTAGAATAAATAAATGTAATGAAAAGAGCTTCTTATCAGAAGCCCTCTTAGATTTGTCCTTAATTTTGCCAGATATTTGTATATCTGTATTTGCCAGAAGTATTTATATTTGCCAGATATATGTATACCTCTGCAAAAGACTTTGTTTCCCGGCCTTCTCCTTTAGTAGGAAAAACAAACAGTGAGAGTGAGAGCCCACTCGCAGGGTTGTTGTGTGGCTCTGCTGGTGCCAAGATGCACTGCTGCCTAAATGCTCTGGAAATGTTGATAATTGATTGAGAACAGGATTTTAGACACTTTGTTAGTGGAAACCACTATGGATTGGAAATGTAATGCTTTAATAATAAAGATGATATAATAAGGCTGGCTATTGTTTTCCATGCGTAATATGCCTCAGGGAATTTAGAGCACGAAATGGTTCCCACCTGTTACTATCAGGGAAGTAACATTTACCTCACAGTGAAATCGTGTGTTTAAAACAGCGCAACTAGAGAAGCAGTGTGTTTTTGTGAGCTGTATTAGAAATCAGGTTGGGAATGTCTAATCCGTACTAATCTTGGTTTAGTTACTAACTCGCTATGTCACTGGACAAGTCAGTAATGCTTTTCGTACCTTGATTTTCTGACAAGACTGCCTGAAGCGGCCCTAGCTAAAAGAAACGAACTGCCATGTCCACACGTGCAACTGTAGGGGACTCAGGAACATGTAACCAAAAGCTGTTACGTAAGATAGTTTGAGAATAAGATTGTAGGATGCTGAACAGCACGCTGTTTGCCCCGTCTTCTTCCCCCATTGTATGCGCTAGCAGGTTCTCGCCTGAGTTCAGAGTTGCAGGGGAGAGGGATGTGTCTTGGAAGAATTCGTGGTTGCCTCTCTGGAGATCTGGTTGCATCTGAAGTCAATTCCAGCCTGAAGAACCTAGAAAAAATCATATTTGGTTCTAATCCTGGTCTTTGGTGCTATTTGGGCCTCTTCTGAGAGGTTCCCAGTGTCTGTCTTGAGAAGGCTCAGGCCTTCTGAGTGGCCTTGACTGGTGCCATCATGTCTCTCTGAGCTTTTGGAAGGATCCAGTCTGACTCTAGGACTATACTGAATCCCGCTTCCTGGTCCTGATCTGGAGGGTGTGTGTCTTCAGAGAGAAAATTTTTAAAAACTCAGTGGAATTTTTTTCCACTATGAATTCATGATAAAGATTTAATAACAACAAATGATATAAGTTGTTTTTTGAAAATGTATTTTGGATTTCAGAGCAAGAATTTTCTTTCTCTGTTTCTGACCTAAACATGAAGAAAAGTTCAGAATAGTCCTTGAAAACATCAGTTCATGCTATTATGTAATTGGAAGCATTTCTTTTATCTGAAGTTGAGACTGAATCTGACTATTTCCTCTCAAAACTTAAAAGTTAGGAGCACAATTAGAGAAATGAGAAATTATTTTATATGTTTTTCTTTTTGCTTTATGTTTTAGGTGCCACATAGAGCTTGCTGTGTTGAATTGAATCAAATCAAAGCATACCCAATAAAAAATAATAGTCCCTGGCTTGAGAACTAGACTTTAGTTCATTCGGAAACTAGAATGATTCTGGCCCACTTTTAATGTATGAAAACTCTCCAAACCACCTTGGCTAGAACCTAGTATTGTAGAACCAGGCTATAAAACATGAGAGCTGGGGACTCTCCACAGTGGTGGGAATCTGCTGTTGTTTCTCAGCAAATCAAACCCGTGGTGAACACTAGTGAACAGACTGTGTGGTCTAGCTCGGGCTGCAACATCAGCTTGCCTGGTGGAAGACAAGTTCAAGAAAGAGAGGGAAACCACAAAGACTAAGCGGAGAGGAAAGGGTTGCTTGGGTGGCCACAGCAGCGCAGATAGACATTCAAATATCATTGCTGCTTTCTTTCTCCTCCTCTGCGTATCTCCCCAACAAAAAGATCATGGGGGATAAAAGGAGGAGGAAAGCCTTGACTCCAAAAGAAAAAAAAATTATATAAAGTGATCATCTGTACTGCCTGGGACTTCTTAATGTTTATTGGGTATGCACCCCAGCTTAAACACATTTGGCCCAAACATTTCCATTGATTCCTCATCTTTTAATGATGCTGTATAATGCATAAGACTGTTTACTATGTGTGGCCATTTGCCGACTGTAATTCTGTAAGAACAGGATAGGAAAGCTTAGAGAGTACTTGTACTCCATTCTGTTTTCACAGTTTTACTCATTTTCTTCCATTAAGAGCATATCTAAAATTCTTATTCTCTTTTTAGGTAACAGTATGACTAAATACATTGAGAAGCTAGAAGAGATCAAAAAAAGTGAGTAACAGTGGTGATGGTTTGGGATAATGGAACCCTATAGTTGTTCTGTACGTTGGTTATTGACAACCCTTACCATACTCTACACCTGACACATGGATGGCTGAGCCTGGTGGGTGCCTAGAAGAATGTGGGAAACACTGTCATCCTGGTCAGCTGCTAAGATTGTGGCCTTTGGGTCTGAGCCCGATTTAGATCCCATAGGAGATGTTAATGTTGGAATGTGGAGCTCTAGGTAAGCAGGGAGAACTTGAGCTGCTAGTTTCATTGTCCTACAGTCTTCATGACCTTTTCCTGTCTTCTTATGTTCTCTGTCCCTGAGATAGGAGTAATAATCTGTCTCTTATTTCATAACATTCTTTTGAGTATGAATTAGTATTCATGAAAGACTTAGAGATGTGAGGAAGAAAGCTTATTCTTAAAGTGGTATTATGCATTGTAAATTCATTGCAGTCTGCTTTCTTTTAATTAAAAATCATATTTCATGCACATCCTTTTTAAAAAATGATCTTCTGCAAAGATATGCTACTAGTCATTGAGTGCATTGCCCTCGCACAAAATCATAATTTTTCAGTGTGTCCAAAACGGATGTAAAATGTACACATCAAGGCCAGAATTAAAGAAGAAATAGAAACGTCTATTTTCTGAGATGGATTTGCTCTTATATTCAGTAGGAGAACCCGGTGGTAGGAGAGTGTTTAGCTAAGGGTAGTAAAGAGGTCCTCTAATTGAAAACAGCTCAGTACTTGACTCTGGTAATATACATTTTCTGAGAAGAGAATATTACAAATCCAGAATTCACCAGAACTTTTGCTTTTACACAGCAGGCCTTTTAATTTAAACGATAATGTTTCTGTTCCTTTTGAATTTCTGCAGTATTGAGAAACCCCAAACAATAGACCGGGACTCAGGAACAGCTTTATGCTGACTTATTTGCCAGGTTCAGCTATACGGGCTAATGCTGTAGATATTTGTTTTTAATGTGTAATGTCACAGTACCCTTTTCTTCTTATATATTTTATATTTATACAGTTTATATTGTAAACTATATACATTTTAAGTATATATTAAAATTTTAAACTTTGAAAAAATCTTGTTTACTCACCTACGCTTCATTGTTGTTGTCCTTAATTCATCTGTGCAGGCAAGATTCAGCCGGCCTGCTTCTACTTTGGTTTGTAGTCTCTTTCACGTCCTATCCATTTGAAGCTGAATATAGCTCACATGTCCACACCAAAATTTGTCCCGTAAAAATGTCCCATTCCACCCAGATTTCTGAAACCCTATTTAAAACATTTCTTAAGAGCACGATGTGGTTTCTTTAACATCTAAACTTTAAAAGGAGTTTATCTCCCAGAAGAAATACCTCTGGAATGGAGTCCTTGAAAAATGCTTGCTTCCCTCTTTAGAAGTTGTGAGCTTCCTTTTAGTAAGACAGAAGGTTCCTCTCACCTTGTTTCACACACTTTCTGCTGATTCCCTGACTAGAATTACTTCAGATTCTGGTTTGGGATCTACATTTTGGAAGATAGTTCCTTCTCTTTTCCCTTTTTCTGTTGTAGGTGTTCTTTTGGGTAAAAAGGGAGGAGAATATTGGCTTTTTTCATGACACCCTAAACCCATCACTTTTCTCAGATTACCTTAGATGCCATGTCTTTCTGTGAAATCACAAACCTTGTTCTGTTACTTCCTTTGATTTATCTTCCACTGTGAGCCCAACTTCCCTTTGCTAATAACGTGTTTTAACAGAACCCTGAAAATGCAGAATTCCTTTGTAGTCTGAATATTCTTTCAACTCTGCCTGGGGAAAAGAGACACTCTGTGTCTATTGACCATTTACAAAGCCTATTCTTGGCTTCTGGTGGTTAGATGACACTAGTTGGACCCAGTGTGAAACATCCTAGATAGTCAGGTCTCTGTCCTTCCAGTAACTTGAGAGAGACAGACTTAGACTCCAGACTTACTGGAGAAGCAAAGCTTGATAACATATCTGACACTAGGCTTATTTGTCTTCATCACAGAGTTTGGGAGAAGCTACAGTAGCAGAAGCTCCATTCTTAAAGCTCTGTTCGCTCTTGCAAGGACTGACAGAGCTTTCCAAGTCATCCTTTTTATAAAACTTACAATTTACTGTAAAACGTCTAGTTTGATCTTTTATCTGTGAGTAATAATGTCAGAAAGTCCCAATGATGGCTGTCCTTCTAAACCAGAACCAGGTATGTAGAATTCAGGCTCAAATATGCAGTGGGATTTCTAGTGCTTGTGAGAGGACACTAGAAATGGCAATCATTAGACTATTGTAGAGTCTGTTTTTTGTTTAAGGTGATTTCTACTTAGTTATAGGGTATTTTAATGTGTACATTTTGTACTTAGAATGTGAAGAATTGGAGAAGTATTTCAAACTATGCAACTATACAACAAGAATATCAATGGATAAATGCCACAGTGCAAACTACTTTAAAGTTGACTGTTTTCGTTGACTGATTTATTGCCATTTTGATTTACGTAAATGACTTTTGGTGGGCAAGTTGGTGGCAATTGAGAGGAATATTGTAGTTGTTCGGTTGCACTTTTTAAAGCTTCTGCTCAGCCTAGGAGGGTCTGCATCCTGGCAGCTTTTAGAAGCTCCTTTGCATCTAGGTTTGTTACCTTGTATCCAAAAGAAGCTCTTCTAAGAATTTTCTAGAAGTAATGGTCAGTTATTAGCCAAATTGCTCTTTTTAAGACATTTTAGAGCAGAGAAGCTTTAATTCCCTATAAAAAAGAGTCTTGACATATTTATAAAAGGCTGGTTTTTAAGGTAATATCATTTCCTGACTCTGGGTTGTAAAGGTGTTTGGTAAGCCAACCTAACGTTATCCTCCAAAATAACTGTCTGGTCTGTACTGGTTTTTTGGAAATTCATGGAAATGATTAGTAACACCAGGTCAATAATCTTAAATACAGTTAATCCTTTCCTTTGTTGCTATGAGTCTTGGTTTATGAGACATTTATCCTGTGAAGGCCATAGTAATTATCCAGCTAACATTTAGTAATTCTGAAATAATGAGGTCATGTTTAAGGAGTATAGGTGCCAATATAAAAATCTAGAAGAGGAGTGAAATGTGAGGGCGGGCAGGAGGTCAATGCTGAAAACTCTTCAGAATTGGCAGTCATCTTCAGAAAAGTTTAAGGAAGCCAACTTTTAACATGCCTCAGTGGGACAGATACTAGATAAAGTGAAATTGGCTAAATTTTTATTTTATTTTTTTGGGTGAGGAAGTTTGGTCCTGAGCTAACATCTGTTGCCAATCTTCCCCTTTTTTTTTTTTTCTCCCCAAAGCCCCAGTACGTAGTGGTATATCCTAGTTGTAGGTCATTCTAGTTCTTCTATGTGGGATGCCTCCACAGCATGGCTGGATGAGTGGTGTGTAGGTCTGCACCCAGGACCCAAACCAGCAAACCCCAGGCCACCGCAGAGCACTCGAACTTAACCACTCGGCCATGGGGCTGGCCCCTGGCTAAATTTTTAAAAACTGTTTAATATGATATGAAGAATGATTGACACAGTACAGAAGTACCCCCATTTGAATTATATCTCAGAACTGTAAAAATAGCACTGAATAAATATTGATGTTTTAGGTTGATTTTTATTTTCTTTTAATTGTGGTTAAAAAACACAATTTACCACCTTAATCATTTTTAAGTGTACAATGCAGTAGCATTAAGTATATCACATTGTGTACAATAGATCTCAAGAACTTTTTCATCTTGCAAAACTGAATAGATTGATTAGAAATTGATACAAGAGTTTATCAGGACCAGTCATAACTTGGATCCTAGCATTGTACTCCAGGAAAAGAAAATGTTGTCCTGTGTCTCTAGCATAGTTTGTAACCTCAGGGAGTATAATTATTCTCTTTTCAGGGCAGAGTTAGAATTGTAGGGTGTAAATGTCTTACCAGCTGTTTGACCTGGGGCAACTCAGCTTCTCTCCGTCTCTGTCCTCATTTGTAAAATGCAGACGTTTATTCCCTGCTTTGTTCTGAAAAGGATTTAAAGTGGCTTATAAAAATGCATGCAATATGATATGGTCAAAGTAGAGACAGCCTAGTGAAAGCACAGTGGTAGACTAATAATATAAAGGCGAGGGATAAAGTCACTAGACACGAAAAGGTGGCTTCTAAATTCAACATTAGGCTTCCTACCAGCCAAAGCAAAGGGAAAAAATGAAGAGATGATATAATAGTGGCCACACTTAATTTTGAGGATATCATGAGGATCAAATGAGATAACATATGTAAAGGAGACCATAAAGGCATATAAATAAGTTGGAAAATATGCCATATAACTTGATGACTAGAAAGAATTAATACCTCTAAGAAAGCAAAATAAATCTAGAAAAATATTTGTCCTATCCTGCTTTTCAGATTATAGATACAAAAAAGATGAACTTTTCAAGAGACTGAAAGTTACAACTTTTGCCCAGTTGGTAAGTTTAATGATCTTCCATTGGAGTAAAAACTGTCTAATTTGTGCTGCTTTTTGTGACTATTTCTAAATTCAACTCTAGGTAATGTTTGCAGAGGGGCTTCTTCTGATTCTTTATATTCCACGTATGGGAGGATTAACTGGTGTGTAGTGTGTGTTCATTCAAGGATGGTATAAAATTTTTCTCTTTTCTTTGATAAGAATTTTATAAAGTAAAATGTGCACTATACTTTTAAATCATCAAATTTGTGGTTTAGGATTTATTTTTTCCTTGTCCATTTAATTTAATATTTAGACTCTAGAATTCTGGACTCTGGATTGTTTGGGCATTTATCTCTGTGGAAGCTGGGGGGTCTCCTGTCTACGACTGAGCTCTTTTGCCAAGTCTTTCTGCCATAGGCTGTTTTGTTACTTGGGGAAAGTAACTTTCTAATTTTATTTGAAGATTATGAACAGAGTATCACTCTGGCACCCAAACAAGAGTTCCATTGATGTAACTCAAGGTGTATCTTGAGCCCTATGAGCTAAGTTGTACAAGTGCTTTAAAAACTGTATGTAGGTATACAACTTTGTTATCAATATATTCATAATTACATTTATTTCCTTTCTGCATGAAGAATTACTGATAGAGTTCTATTCTTGTAAGTATTGCATTTTCAAGAAATGTGTCAAGTTGGGACTAGAATATGTATGGAGCAGTTTTAAACTCTTATTCATGTTTCTTGTCCTAAATTATCCTTTTAGTCTTTTAAGTTTATTGTGTAATGCTTTAGATGAATCTTTTCTTCTGGAATGATCATCTGCAGTGTAATTACCACTCGCAAAGTAAGGAGACCTGAGATTTAGTCTCCAGTTGAGGACTGACAAGTTTCTTAAAACGAGAAATCTTTGATGTTTGATGTTTCCTCATCTTTTGTAAAAGACAGAATTGCCTCTGTTTAAAGACAGATGAACATACACCATCTACACATTTCATTCTCTTTTCTATCAGGTCATCCAAGTTGCTTCCCTATCTGATCAAACACTGGAAGTGACAGCTGAGGAGATTCAAAGGCTAGAAGGTAATGAGAATTGAGGATGTGGGGACAATAACGGATGGACTATTTGACTGAAGTGCTCACCCTGTGCTGCTGTGTTCACAGGGACTTGGGACTTTGAAGTATCTATTTGTAACTAGATTGTTGCCCTCTGAGAAGCGCTACCTGGTTCTTTGACTGTTAACTCTTATTTCCTTAAAACAGCCATCTGGTTTTCTGGCTTGAACATTTATAGTTTTAAATGTTTTAGATGTGTTTAATATAGTAATTACTTGTTTTCAACAAATATTTTTAGTCCCATATAAGTACAGGTCACAGAATCAGGTGCTATGAGACTACAAAGGTGGATAAAGCAGCTCTGTTTACATGAAGTTTGTAGTCACGTATGTGCACATGCACAGGTTTATGTGTGTTGGGTGAGGAGAATGATAATAGAAACACAAAATTATTAATATCGCTAATATGGTAAACATTCATGATGGAGGACTGGAAGGAAACCATCATTTATTGAATATACATTGCTAGGTACTTCACATGAGTTTTCTTATTTAATCTTCTCAAAAACTCTAGAAGGAAGGTGCACTTTACAGATGAGAAGCCTAAGCCTCAGAGGTTAAATTACTTGCTCCAGGTGATACAGCCCGTAAGGCATGGGCGTAGGATCCAAATCTATGCATCTCTGGTAGCAACTAGTGTCTTTGCTGTGGGTGTTCCAAAGAAGGAAAGATATTTTCCAGTTAGAAGACCAAGGTAGGCTTTCTTAAAGCTTTTGAACTGGGCCTTAAAAGTGGGGTTTGAATCTCAACAGGTGCAAATTAAGGGTAAGGCTCTTGCAAGCTGAGGAGTAGCCTGAGCAAAGGCATGGAAGAGAATAAACTCCAGGCGTGTTGGGGGAATCGCCTAATCCGGCCTGGCTGTGGCCTGAGGGAAGCGTAGGCGCAGGTAGGAGACAAGGCTAGAAAGAGAGGCAGGCCCTGGATTTCCCCTCTTAAATACCGAGTCAAAAATAAAACCTTTTAGTTGCTCTCTCATAAAAGGAATACACCGAGTTTAGGTCTTTCTTTTATCCTGAAGTACTAACAATCGATGTGTGGCTGTTTACGGAAGGGGACTGTGTTTTGTTAAGGTTGATGTAGCCAGGAATTTGACTTCTGATTTCAAGACAAGTTTCTCAGGAAGTCTGAACACGGGGTTTGTGCAACTCAACTGTCGTTTCCCTGGGCTTGTTTTTGCTAGGGAGGATAAAGAGAATCTGAAAAAGACAGGAATTTATCTTTGACAGATGCCTCTCACACAGCCGAGAAATAAGGGCTCTTTGTAACGGAGATAATTGAGTCTCCTCTTACAAGCACTCCCAATTTTAACCTGGTTATGTAAGTACATGGATTTGGTCCTTTAATTCATTGTTGAAATTGCAGCACCAGAACATATGGGCACAGGCAATTTTCTCTTCTGTGATAAATTTGCACAGCAAAATAGGCCCTTGTAAAGTAGGACACCATAATGTGTGAGTAATATTAGTGTTTTTCTAGTGCTCTACACAGAATAATAACTCACTCAGGAATGCCTCTAGAACAGATTGTATCTGTATGCATATTGGCTATCTTTGAAGGCATTTAAAAAATCTCCTTTTGTAATGTTTATTGTTTTTTCCTGACTTAAAAGTATATTTCCAGAAAGTAGAATGCTGTAAACAAAATATATAAAGAAGAAAAATAAAATAACTAATAATTCCTGTTAACATTTTGGTCTATTTTCCCCCTAACTCCCCACCCAAATCCATACTTTTTGTATATAGTGTTGTATTATGCTGTTTTCAGTTAACATTTTATCATGCATTATGCATGTCATTAAATAGACTTCAAAAGCTTAATTGTAAAGGTTGTGTTGTCATATAATGTCTATCCTTTGGATATACCATAATTTATTTAATTACTCCATTGTTGGGCATTACAGTTTTTCTAATTTTTCACTTCTATAAAATAATGCTGCAGTGTAAATACATAAATGTTTGCATGGTTCTGATTATTTCCTGATGATAAATTGCTGCAGATGGTGGAAAGGTAGAAACATTTAAGACTCTCAATGCTGACTCCACATTATCTCCTGAATGGTTCTATCTGTCTGCATTCCCACCAAGTAAATGAGAGGACATGTTTCTCCCCATCCTAGCCAATGCTGAATAATTCTCATTTTTGTAACTGCTGAATAATTGTCATTTTTGTAACTATTTGCCAGTTTGATAGATGAAAAGTGGTATCTAATAGTTTTATTTTGAATTTCTCTGATTGTGAGGTTCACCTTTGTGGGTGTTTATTGGTCATACATATTTCTTCTTTTGAGGATATTACTTGTCCTTTCCCTTTTTTTTCCTAATGGAATGTTCATCTTTTACTTATTGATCTGTAAAGGCTCTATATAATTATGATATCTTTATACATTAGAAACCAATACAGCCTTGAAAATGAATGAGAAAAATCTTTACTTGATGAATTGGAACAATTTCCAAGCTGTATTATTAAGTAAAAATAAAGCAACAGCAAGACAAACAAAAAACCAAAGGGTAGAGCAGTATGAATGGCATTCTCCTGGATGTGTAGAAAGGGGAGGAAATAAAATATGTGCAAAAGTATGTAGTTGTTTTATTTCTGGAGGGAAGTGAAGGCAGTTCCCTTGGGGGAGGGGTCTGCAGTCTGGAAGGGAGGAAGACTTCCTTCTATGGTCACAGTTTCATCTTGATGGCATTTTTTACCTTCTGCAACATGATCTTTTTTCAGTTAAAGGACTAGTTAATTAAAAAGCTCTTTGTAAATTAAGTATATTAACCTTTTCTCATTCATATGTGTGATCACAGACGTTTTTCCTAATTTGTTATTCACCTTTTAATTTTCTTTGTGCTGGATTTGACATATATGAGGTTTGCATTTTTACATGTTTAAAATCTATTAGCCTTTCATGTTTTTTCTTTTTATTGTTTTAGACTCATAAAATCAAAAACAAGATAAATTATTCACCTATGTTTTCTTTTAGCTTGCTTGGTTGTTTTTTCCCCTACATCAATCCATCTGTTATATAGTTTGGTATGTGATGTGAGGGCGTTATCTAAATCTGATTTTTCTAGATAGTTGACAACTTATCCCAGCACCATTTATTCAGTAGTTCTGCCTTTACCTACTGATTTGTGATGATACCTTTAACATATATTTGCTTTTTATGTGTATTCTAGGATTTGTTTCTCTGTTAGCTACCATATTCCATTGTTCTGGTTGTAGTTCTGCATTATTTTGATCATTTACCTTTTCAATATATGTTACTATTTGATAAAGCAGGTTCTCCAAATTGTGTCTCTCTATACATATGTATTTTTTTCTTCTCATTTTAAAAATCCTTTCAAGCTTTTTTTTTAAATCCCATTGGGATTTGTATGAAGGTTAAAAATTAAATTTGGAAAGGATTAACATCATTTCACTTTTAGTTGCCCTGTCAGGAAAATGCAAGGTATGTCACTCCATTTGGCTCTTCTTTATGTCCCTAAGGAAAATTCTTATATGCCCTATAAAGGACTTATAGATCCTTTACATTTCTTTTTTGTTGTTGTTATATTTCTTAATAGGTTTTTTCCTAGGACAGTATATTTTGTATCTGCAGTTGTTACTGTAAATGAGATGTTATTTTCTAATTGGTATATAGGAAAAAATTTTCTTAGTGTTTATTTTGTTATCTAACCACATATTTATTTTCCTTATTCTCATAGGATTCTCCCAAAGTTTCTAAGTATATTATATCATATGCAAATTAAATTTTAATATATGCTTGAATAACTAGGCCTCTTATTTCTCTTGTTTCTCTCATTATACTAGTGAGAACAGTAGATTCTCAAACTTTTTGATATCAGTCTTCCTCCACACTCTTAAAAATTATTAAGGACCTCGAAGAGTTTTGGTTTATTTGAATTATATATCTATTTAGAGTGTTAAAATTTTAAACTAAGAAGTTAAAAAATAAATTTATTTACTATTTCACTTAAAAACAACAATACTAAACCCATTACAAAACACAAATAACATTTTTATGCGAAATAGCTATATTTCCAGAAGAAAAAAAAATGAGAGTTTTTTGTTTACTGAGAATGGCATTGTTTTACTTTTTTTTGTCAATCTTGTCAGTGTCTGATTTAATAGAAGGTAGCTGATTCTTATATCTTCTTCTGCATTCTATCTGTTACCATATGCTCTTTGGGTGGAAGTATATGAAGAAAACCTGGCCTTACACAGACCTGTAGTTGAAAAAGGGAGGAATATTTTAACAGCCCTTTCCAAAAACTGTCGATTTCTGTTTTGATACTACACCAAAACTTAACAAGCGATAGCTTCTTAAAGGATAGTTGTAACGTGGAATCTGAAACCATATCGATGAATTTCATAGTCTGTTGCATTAAACCCATTGGTCTGTCTTAGACTTTGAGTGACTCTTTTACCTGTGCATGATTTTATAATATCATTCATTGGTCATTTGGAAAATATTGGTTCACTGAGTTATGAAGATCTTCCAAATGTTGATAAATTTTATTACACAGTATCCAAAAAATCCCATTTTTATTAATCTTACCACCTATCTTATTAGAAAAGTCATTAAATGTAGGGAAGTAGTCAAGCTCCTGATGGCAAATACAGTTTCCAAAATTCTGATTTTGGTTCAAAATTTAATCATTGCAACAAATACCATGAGTTGTTTTCCCTGAAATGACAAGTTCACTTAGACTGTTTTTGAGAAAATATCTGCCAAATGGGCAAGTCTAAGTAACCATAGTTTTTCTTTTAAGTAAAAATGGTATTCAGGGCACCCTAATTAATCACCCTAATGCTTTTCCTTGAGACAACAATGGTACTTTGGTGAGTAGCACACTTGCCGTATGTGCTCTCCCCATTTCATCACACAGAATATTAAAAAGGTGTGTACTTAGGGATAAGCTTTAATAAAATTATTATTACTACTTCATCAAGAACTTTTTAAAATGTGACAGTCATATCTATTAACTGTGAGTGTGTGTGTGTTGGTGAAAAATACAATGATTACTAGTAAAACTTGGTACCTCTGCTCTTATCCTTGCTCAGGCACTAACAATTTTCTCCACCATTTTGTATCATCATTGCAAATATCAACACATTAAAAGAGGTAACATCTTGGTTATGAAAATAGTTTTCATCTTGCAGATCCCCTGAAAGGGTCTTGGGGACTCCGGGGGTCCACAGACTACATTTTGAGAACCTATGCATTAGAACTTAGAGAACAATTTAATAATGGTGATATGATTTCCTTTTCTTGACCTAATTTCAGTGGAACTGCCTGACAAGTAAGTACAAATTCTAAGGTTAAATTTACTTATTTATTTATTTATTTGCAAATTTCAGACAACGATTCTGCAGCTTCAGACCCTGATGCTGAAATCGCAGTCAGGACCAACGGGAAAGGGAGCCCCGGGGAGCAGTCACTGAGCCCAGTCCAGTTCATACATAGTGCGGGAGCGGGGGACTCTAGTCGCTCGACTCTTCAGAGGTACTCTAATCAAATTCATGTTTCATTGCATTTTACCTTCATATTAATCTAGACACCAATTCCAGTGATTTAATTACCTTAGAAACAGATTGGCAGTAATGAAGTCCCACATTTTCATCCCAGCCCTTCTATTTTCTCTTTATATAAATGCCACCTCCTGAATCTTTTCACAGCATTCTTAGTCAGTTAGGGTAAGAATATATTGATAGGAGAGCATTCATTTTCACTCCTCAATTCCGTTCTTCTCAGCCTTCCTATATGCAAGTTTGCTGTTAGAACTTAGCTTTACAACTACTATCTTTTGACTCAGAAAGAATGATTCCTCCCTCCTTTTCTGTCTGCTGCAGCTTGTAATTACCCTGTCTAGAATCAGAAGAAAAATAGAGTGCCACTCGTAGTGCTCTGATATTAAATAGGTACAAAGAAGAATGAAAGCAACCCTTGGTGTCACTTCTCAAACTGCAGGTGGCTGGACCTTCCTCTTCCACAGACTGTGATGCAACGTTTTCTCAAATATTAGCTGTTGATTACAAGACAGTTCCGATTTTCAGCACATATCCATCCCTTCTACTGGTAAAACGGTTCTCCTAGAGAAACTAGTTCTACTAGAGAAAGAATTGCTATCATCAATACCGCTATTATTATTTTTATAACTACTTTTGTGTAAGAGGTCTAAAATTGCCTTCAAAATGAGGTAGACCAACAAAACTTCCATTGAGGATCCAGTTTCATGTGAAATAGATTTTCTTCTCCTTTGGGTCAACATAATATGCACTGTATAGCACATTGTTGTAATGTTTATCAGATTTAAATGCAGAATTTGACTTGCTGTGATGGGAGAGGAACAGCTGCTACATACTAATCTGTGATTTGGCATGTATGTCTTCTTATTTGCCTAGGAAAGTTATCATCTTCTTATTCCAATACAGATATTTCACTACTTGCCATGTTGTTTATAATACCTACTCTTCTTATGCCTTTGATTCATGTTTTCACCACATTTTGCTTATAATATTAATATGGTGACCAGTTTTAGTAATTTTATGACCTTAGAAACAGAACTGTCAGTGGTGAACTCCCTCATTTTAACACTAGTTTTTCCTCTATCTCAGTCTATGAATGCCACCAAATCTAAAAGCCTCTTCAGTCTCAACACTGTAACCTATAAAATGGAAGTAAGTACAGATAACTATTGAAAACATTAAGGTTCAAAATCCGTATTGGATAGGTCACTGTGTATGAAATATATTAAAACATTGTGTTACTTTCTGTTACATATAGTATATATAGAAACACCTTTCATCTTTCCTGTCCTATCAACCTTATTCTTTCCTCTCTTGCTCTGCTTTCTTACACTCCTCAAAATCCCATTGGATTAACTGTTCGCCTCTTTCTTTCCCTGAATGCTGCCCTTGTTGCTGGAGGCAGCATCTGCTCTACAGTTTCTACCCCCTCAGCCATGCTAGTGACCTAACATGCATTCTCTGAAGGTAAATAGAGGCACGTGAATCCCCTCCTTGGGGACCAGTGTAATAGAATAGGATCCATAGGATCTTGCATTCAGAGGCAGAGCTGAGACACAATATCCATTTTCCTTTTTCTTTCAGGTGTCCTTTGAAAAGACATTGAGCACTCTCTCACTGTTCTGAAGAAACACATTTGACCTTTAAGCCACCAATCCCTGACTAGTTTCTGCTAACCTACTTTTTCATTTGCAGCGTCATCAGTGGTGTTGGGGAACTGGATGTAGACAAAGGGCTAGTGAAGAAAGCAGAGCCCAACACCAAAGACAAACCTTATCCCGACTGCCCCTTCCTGCTGCTAGATGTGCGAGATAGAGATTCTTACCAGCAGTGCCACATTGTTGGAGGTAAGAGAGAGAAGGCTTTATCATGTCCCACTCCCAGGAACAGAGCCTGTTCCTGAGTCCAGGCGGCTCGAACCACATCCCATGGCAACAGTTAAGAAACCCACGTGTTAGTTGGATCCACTATGGGAAGCTGTAAGTTGGCTCTATCATAATGCTCCGAGAGAGGCTGGTGACTTCCCTATGGCTCAAGGGCCCAGTGCTAATGTCAGAAACAGTGAAGTGAAGCTTCTTATTCTGTTCACTGTCCTGTTTCTCTTTTCACAAAAGTATGTGTTTATGGCTCATTGATTTTGAAAATACGTTTCTTTTAACTCTTAGTTAGACTTTAAACCAGCTGGGAATTGGGGCCAAGTTGTACTAAGAGAACTACAAGCTTCCTAAACTTTTTCTTCTCTTTGCAGCTTACAGTTACCCAATTGCAACTCTGTCTAGAACAATGAACCCTTATTCAAATGATATTCTTGAATATGTATCCTTTGTTGCATTTTAAGGAGTTGTGGTTATGAGGATTGTAAGAATCAAACTTACCATGAATCATGTTCCCAGTAAGAAAACTCTGTGAAGGACCTTTGATACTAATTAGCTTACTTAGCATATGTTAAGATTTGGACTCTTAGCTGTTGCTGAGTGTCCTGACTATTAAGGCAGATGGTTCCAAGCCATTCTGCAGTGGGCCAGAAAACATTAGGTTAAAGGTTATGATCTGCTAAGAGTTAGTCCTAAGACATTTTTTCCCCAGAAAGCTTTCCCAAATTAAAACTTAATTTTTTTCCTTCCAACTTTTTTCTTCGTAAAATTTGAATTTTTCTCCTCATAATAGTCACAATTAGAAAATAATTTAAATACTGAAAAATATAAAAAAGAAAGGGGAAATCTCCAATAATCACCCAGTTGAACAACTCTAATTATACTTTTGGCATATTTTATTCCAGACTGTCTTCTATGTAGTTTTGGGGGGCAGGGGGGCGGGCGGTGAGGAAGATTAGCCCTGAGCTAATATCTGCCACCAATCCTCCTCTTGTTTGCTGAGGAAGACTGTCCCTGAGCTAACATCCGTGCCCATCTTCCTCTGCTTTTTATGTGGGACGCCTGCCACAGCATGGCTTGACAAGTAGTGCATAGGTCCACACCCGGGATCCGAACCAGCAAACCCTGGGCCGCCGAAGTGGAATGTGCACACTTAACCACTGTGCCACCAGACTGGCCCCCCTTCTATGTATTTTTTAACAAAGTAGAAATCATACTGTGTATATAATTTAGTATCTTGCTTTTCCCCACTTCATATTACAATGTATTTCCCCACTCCATTTTCAATGCAATGTATCTCATCCTCAGATTTACTGTAATTTACTAAACCATTGTATTACTTATTATTTATCATATTACTTATTATATTACTTATATATTACATATTATAAGTAAGGCTGCAGTGGACACATTGGACATAAAAGTTTTTCTATTTCTTCATCTGTAAAATGGAGATTGGAACATTCAGTTTCCAGGGTTGTTAAGTATAACAGAGCTAGAGGGTGTACAGTGTGTAACTAGTGCCATCGTGGACCATGGTAGTATTAGTGTATAAAAGAAAAGAATACCAGCTTGTGTGGTTTCCACAACAGGAAGAAATCTAGTATCTGCTGGTGCGATGGGTAAAGAGTAGTGTCGCCCAGTGTTCCCTGAACTCAGAAAGGTGCACATTGACAGCTCTTGGTTCCTTGAGGATTTCTTTATAGTCTAGGAGCATTAGCTCAGCGTAGTCAAACCTTAGCTCATCTGACTCTTAGAAAAATGCCCACGGCAAGATCATTATTCTGTACGACGATGACGAGAGGCTGGCCAGCCAGGCAGCCACCACCATGTGCGAGCGGGGATTTGAAAACCTCTTCATGCTTTCTGGAGGTGAGCCGGACTGTGTTGTGCTTTGGACTTAAACAACAGACATTTGGACTCACAATCCTTCAACCCCACCCCCATCACTTTTTTCCTCATCATGTTCAGAATTTAGTATTCTGGAAAGAGAGAAAACCATGCTGGCTGAAAGGAGTCAGGAGTTATTTGAAACTTCCATTAGCTCCATCAGCACATGTTTTTAATTCCTGAAATAATGATGTTGCTTTAGGGCTCTGTAAGAAAGCCTTAATGCTCCAGACTTGAGCAAAAGGATTTCTGGTGGAATTTTCAGAATCCCACATAACAACTGACATTTTCTTGTGTAATTTACTTAATGGTGAGGCAGTTAAGAAGGATTTCATGTCCTTGTGTTGGCCTCAACTTGGAGACCAAAGATTAGGAGACACGTAGGCTCCTTTCCAGGTTTCGCCATGGCCTTGCCACGTTAATGCTGCTTTTTCTGATCATCTTCCACCCCTAGGTCTAAAAGTCTTAGCTCAGAAATTCCCCGAAGGACTGATTACGGGTTCCCTGCCAGCATCCTGCCAGCAGGCCCTTCCTCCTGGTTCTGCCCGGAAACGAGCCAGCCCCAAAGTACCGCCTCTCCCAGCTGAGAATAAATGGAGATTTACCCCAGAAGACCTAAGAAAGATAGAGTACTACCTAGAAGAGGACCAGGGTCCTGCAGACAATCCTAGTAAGATATTTTGACCTTTAGAGATAATGTTTTCTGTTGAGCTTGAGATTTGCAACTTGGAACATCACCTCATTATATGAAACGCTTGATCTCTTCTATTCAAATTCTTAAAATATTTGTTGGGGAGGGGAAATGCGAAGGTGCTACGCAGGGGAGTGGGGGTGCGAGTGGAGGTGATCCCAGATTGTGGCAAGAATTAGGCGTCACACACAGCCGTAGAAAGAGAAGAGAATTTATCAGTCAAAGTGTATATTCAGGCAGAGTTGGGAGGCTGAGCTAAGGCATTCAGATTCCTTCTTGGAAAGTTTTGTTTCCTTCTGCTGCTTCTGGGGACACTTCCATCCTTACCCTTGCACACTCCTCCGTCTTCTGTTTCTCTGATCGCTCCTGCACCCTTCTCTACCAGGAAGGAAGGAAGGATAGGCCAGGTTGGTTGGGGATAATGGAGAGGAAGAAAGAAAAGCTATCTGGGTTTCCTTTCATTCCTGCCCCATTCCCCACCTTCAAGTTGATCTTAAGGATGAAGAGTAGGTTTTAGCCTAAAGTAGATGCTGAAATAGGACTGCATTCACTTAAAAGTGGTCGTAAGCCTAAGACTTCATGAGCTTAAAAGTGTCCTTGGCAGATTGTCCCTGGAATCATTCTTGCAGTTCTGCTCCCTGCTTTCTTGTTCCCTTCAGGCCGGCTGAGCCAAGCTAATGCCTCCGGAAGAGACTCCAAGGTTCCAGGCCCCCGGAGCACCCGCAGCGGTCAGAATCTGCCCACAGGGGGCCCTGCCGGCCACCTGAACCCCCGCTCTCTGGGCTCTGGCCACCTGCAAGGCAAACCCTGGAAGTAAAGACTTCGTCTGTCTTAGTCAAATAAATGTTTTCTCTCCTTCCGGAACCCCTGAGCAGTGCCCAAGTTGGTCATTTTCAGACACTGCCGCAGAGGAGAGACCATGACCTGTGTGATAGGCCCTCTTCCCTTCTCCAGCTCCTCTCCCACATCCAACTCGGGAAGGATTTTTACAAAAACCAGAGGCATGACAGGCTCTGGTGTCCTCCCTGTTGTTTACAGAATATGTAATCTCGGAAACTGACTAGGCAAAAAGAGTCTCATTTTTTTAGGCTATTTTTTTTAATAAGGTCCAGCTTGTTTTGATCTATAGCCTGTGTTTTGTAAATACCTCAGTTATATCTGGTGTGTTCTTCCCAACCAGTTCTTTTTCACTCACTGTGCTTGGTTTCCTGAAGGTTCTCCAGGTAGGCTGTGCAGCCTGAGAAGCCGTGGGTGGGGATGATTCTTAGCTTTCAGCCGCCCCCAGGCTCCCCACCTGTGGTGAGCCCACTGGCTGAGGAGCGCACGCTGCAGGCGGCTCTGTTGTGAATGTGGAGGCCGGTACCTGTGAGCATTGCTCAATTTCTAAGATTTAGCAGAGCAGCTCCCACACTCCCTGAATGTTCCTCCTCACTCTGTTTTCCTGGAGCCAGCACAGGTGGTAATGTGTGCTCAGCTGCCTTCTGTCAGGGCGCGGGGCCCCTTGCAGGAGAGCACCGTCCATTATGGAGGGCTGCGTGGAGAGCCGTTGAAGCCTCCCAGAGCTGCTCCTCATTTGTGGTTGGTTTATCAGTTGTAAATTTCCGTTACCCACCTCGGGTCCATCTGTGTTAGACGGGTAGAAATTATGGCCACTTGAAAACATCGGCTTCCGTGGGGCCACCACGGGCACACAAGGTGAGGACGACTCCATGGTCCTTTGTCAGAGCTGACAGCCCCTTAAGCCCTTGCTTAAAAATACAGTATTAGTCTAATTGAGTAATTAGTGCAATTTCCTGCTTACTTTTCATTCTCATGACTGAGCTGTGATTAGGAGGTTGTGATTATAGATTCTGGTTTGGGCCAGAATTTTGAATCAGCATTAATTGAATTGCTAGATGACTGACATTCATTCCATTTAATTGGGGGAACAAAGACCTCAGGTAGGGATGAGGAACTCTGAAATCATCAGGAAAAGGAAAAGAGCCTTGTTAATTTTTATAGTCTGTGATCTGTAGCTGTGATAAGGGACTAAGGAATAAATTGTGCTCTTTGTCATGGCAACCAGCTTCTGAAAAGCCAACTGAAAATTGCCTGTCCTTAGGTGGTTACTGCTGCCGGGTAAGATTTGCCTTAATGGGACTATTTTCTCACCACCAAAAAAAAAAAAAAGTGCCACAGTATTTCTAGCATGGGGGGCTGTGTTTGTAAGAGAAATAAAGGTAATAAATATCTCATAGAGACGTATGGAAAAATAACTTTCAGATTCAGCCCAGTCCTGTTTTAGTGTGTTTATCCTTCTCTACTTGATTTCCAAAGTGCAACGTTTTCCGATGCTTTAGAAATCAGACTAACCAGGGACATTGTTCAGATGTCAAGCCGTGCCCAATTTTCCACAAGATTCAAGAATCTTGTATAAAATTCAGCCAACGTACACATAGCTTTAATGAGGAGCCTGTCATGTTTCTCCATAAATTTATTGCCTGAGAACTTAGTTCAGCCTTTTGCTAATGCCAAAATGCTCTGGCTCTTTATTTTCCTTACAGCATAGATTTTAAAAAATGCAAATTTTTCCACACTCGATTTTCCCCTAGCATGGACATGATTTTCAGCCATTTTTGACACATATACATTTCTAAGGAGAAAATATTTTTCTCTCTAACAAAGTTCTGATTATGCCATTTTTAAGTTGACTAGTCAGGAGTTTAGATGTGCCCGCTCGATTCTGTTTTGAAAGTAAATGGTAGTCCCCCTTTGTTCCTATTCTGCATTCCTATCACCAAACAACGCTAGAGTGTTAGAAACTCCTGTGTATATATGGAAAGTCACTTTAGCCAAACCTATTAGAACTGCTGTGCGTTTAGCTGAGAGATCTGGCAGGTTGAATATATTTATATGTGTTTCTCCATAGTGCTTTGCCTTATTGGTAAGAATTTTAAATAACGACCCCTCAAAGACCTGTTCTGATTCTGTACTTTGTGTATTAAATGTCGCTTGCAGACAGTTTTTACATGCGCAAGGTATTGCTTGGAATGCTCTACTTTACTGGTGTTTTTTATTAGATTAAGTGACATGTATTATTTAAGTGATCAGTGATACTTTGTGCAATTATGAATGTTGAAGATTAAAGTACATAGTTATTAATGTGTTGTTTGCTATTAATATGCTGAGATCTGCCAGCTTCTCTCTTCCTCTCTATTGAGATAATTTGGGGGAGCCACACAGGACTGGGGTAATCTGAAAGAATCCCTCTTTTTGCTGAGTCTCCCAGAAAGGCATATGTTCTTTGTATAAATGAATCAGGAAATCATTCCCTGTAGGGCCAGGAAGCTTAGTTCTCTAGTCGGAAGGCCTGGGTTTCTCCTCAGGCTCAGGCAGGCACTGAGCGCCGCCTTAAGCACTCTACAGCAGATAGTAATCAGCAGCTGAAATCCCTGTCAGCGTTTCAGGGGTTGACGAGCTGCCCTTGCCTGGGAGCTTGTGACCCCCTAGATGGAAGGTGCTTTGCCTGTGTACAACTACAGCTCCATCTAAGCAACAGTGTTGGCCAAAGTCTAAATAACACGTTCACTGCTTTACAGGAGTGTGTATTTAGGAATGAAAGGAGGGAAGGAAGGAGAGAAGCAAGGAAGCAAGAAGTGGCGAGGGAGGGAAGGGAAAGCTACACTACTTATTCAAAAACAAAAAGAACATCTTGGGCTGTAATAAAATCAGGTTTAATCTACTGAAAGGCAATAGAATGATTCAAATGGCCTAAAAGTAATTTTGTTTTTCACCTGTAGTAGAAAACCAGAACCAGCACAATCATATTGGATTTGGTGTAAATCAGAATTAGAAGAAAACAAATAATGTTCATTAGTTGCTGAGGGATTTTTCCTGTGGTGTTGTTTAGATTAGACAAATTCTTAAGACTTTAGGCTACTCACCAAGAACACAGAACAAAACAAAACCTTCTTTTCTCTAATTCCCTTGTGGAATATATGTGAAATCAGAGTCCTAGGCTAGGAAGAAATATGTAGGTAATTTTTCTTGTGTTGGTTTTGGTTTCTGTCATGTTATATATTGGTTATAGATTCTCTCTTTCATGTTATCTGACTTTTTTAGGGGGGATAATTAATTTGTGTCCACCTGGATTTAAATCGATGACTCCCTGACGCTCTGCTCTGAAGATAATCATTAAGAACCTTTCTTCCAAGTTCCAAAATGTTCTCAGTGTCTTTAATATGCTTTCAATTTCTTCACAATTCTTTCAAAAATGTAACTCCCATAATACTTTTCTTTTTTTTTCCAAGAAACATCAGAAACGTGGATTATAATTCATGAGTTTAATTATGTGGGCATAATGATATGCTTACAGGCAGTTCAATTAATTTTTTGATTAACAAATATATTTTTCCTATGAAAACAATAAGACACCCTGTGCTTCTGGAGTGTTCAGAATACATTTGGGTAGTAATCTTTTCCTAGAATTGTAGTAATTATTGAAATTGTTTTTATGGTGTCCTTAAATTGGTTCACAGGCCAATTATCGCATAAAATGTGTAATGGTGGAAATTTGTCAGCATTGAATTCTGACAGAATAGGATTCAGTGCATGATTTTATGAGTGTTTACAAAACTATATGTGTCACGCTGTGGTCCCCTTATGGTCTCACTCTCTGATGCTGATCCTCTTTGTTCTGAGCACGGAAGCAAATTCTGTCTGCTTGCGGAACATCCTGAGGCACTTGGTACAACGTGGGGCAAACAGAGGCCACTTATTAAATGCTATTGACTGATGGACTACATTTTTTAAATTATTTGAAATTATATTGACTGTAAGTTCTCAGCCTATATGACAGTGGCCCTTAATAAATAAGAGTGTGTGAATAAATGACTTGAACCTGTTAAGACTGAAGTCTGGGATGTAATGCACATTGTGGTGGCCACTCAACGCTGGCCTGCCATTCTGGAGACCCAGAAACCTCATTATCTTTTGTCCCCTTGTGCATCCTGCTTTTGTAGGAGAGGCATTCACAACCCTGAGATTGTTAGATCACCCTCTGCAGGAGGCGCCCAGAGAGCTATTAGGAGCCCTCTTACCCTGGCTGGCTGCCGTCGGCCTGTTTTCACGGTCCCCTCAGGCACAAAGTAGCCTTTGGAATTCATCAAATACAGGTTACACACCATCCCCATCTGAGAGTGAGTTATTTTTCTCTTTTGTTTCAAATCTTGAAAATTTCCACATAATAATACTAGCAAACATTATGGAGAGCTTACTGTATGTTAGGCAGTGTTCCCAGATTCTTCATTTTAAGTTTTGACTCATTTAATTCTCACAACAGTCCTACAAGGTAGGCACCCTCGCTTTCAGGTGAGGAGACTGAGGGAAGTTAGGCAACTCGCCTTGATTCTCTGAGAAGGCTGAGAAGCCAGGAGCCAGCCCGAGAATTGTGGCTCCAGAGCTAGTTCCTTCAGCCACCCTGCTCCGTGCTGCCCACTCTGGGTTGGCACAGCCATGTGCTCCCTTGGTCATGCCTCAAATTCACCAACAAAAATGTAACTTTCCCATGACTGTTGGCTTCCTCCTTGTCACTGAGATTCCACTGAAAGCTTTCTGCCTCGGCTTGCACAAGAGGCAATAGAAATTTAGGGAAGGAAGCTTCTGCTCCTTGGCATATGTGTTTCCACATTTCCGCTGTCTATGTCCAGTGACCCATCTTGAAGACAGGTGCTCCAGGGTTTCTGAGTTTTGTTTCTTAATGAACACCTAAAGAGATATCACTTGAGGAATGAGAATTACAAACTTTAATTAGATTGTAGGAAAAAAGTCAGCTGTTTTCCTGATGGGTTGAACTATTCATTCAATAAACCATATTGATATGATTTGTGTCTGATCTTTTCTTCCCTTTGTGGTGATGTTTCTGATTTAGGCTGAAACAAAAATTGCGTGAATTGGCTCGTGGCCACAGGCCCGGGTTTCATGGGAGGAAGCAGCGGCCAGCCTCTGTGCCTCAGTCCGTGTCAGCAGAGCTCTTACTCCACTGCCCTCTTCTAACACCATAGCCCGGCACCACCCCTGAGGTTAAGCAGAGACTTTTAATTTTCTTCTTTTACTTTGGCAATAAACATTTGGCAGTCTCAGTCTCCGGGGTTGTTAGATGATGCTCACAATTTGAGTTGCCAAATTAATGTGGATCCCGAAAGCTTTGGGGAGAATTCATTACCCTTTGACAGTTTTTCAGGTTTGACGGTTTCTCCGTGCTTTTCTTCTCAGAGCTCGCCCTTCATCTGGCCAATTGGAATGTTATGGTTTGTCCTATCAGTCTCCCATAAGTAGCATCTGGGTCTTAGTGTGTTCACGGAATGTTGTTTCATCCTTATAGTCCTCAGAGCGAGAGTCCATCTGCATCTTCACATCTACCTAGTCCCACGTGCCCTTGCAAAACAATGGCTGAGATGATGAATAGCCCTGCACTGGATGAGGGAGCAATGAGCTCATATCTGGATTGTATTCAGTGACATTTCAATTTTAACTTCAGGCCACAGCCAGAAAGCTAGAAATGCAGATCTGAGTGTTAATTCAAGAGACTGCCTGAAGAATTCTCATGGACCACCAATGTCCATGAGACCTATATATAATGGTCTAGAAAAACAGAAAATGAGTTCGTTTAAAAATAAAGATTTTTGAAAAGCTCTGGAGAATAGGCATTAACATAATCAACTTCCCAGATTACTATGGAAAGTGAATGTGAGCAGAAAGTACTCTTGAGAGTGTTCATCTGAGGGGTGGCAGAGTGCTTAGGGAATGGCCCCCTACGGGGAGACACAAGAAACCCCACCCCTTGGTAGAAACACTGCTGCTCTCAGCTCTATCTGGAGTGTAAATTTTTCCAAAGATAAGATAAATGCCTTGTTCTGGGCGAGATGGTGAAATATGCCAGAACAGAAGAAATGAGTTTAGACAAATTATAAGAAAGAATCTGGGCACAAATTAAGATGCCCATGTAGATGTTTAGTGTGGATAATAAGTTGATATTAAATAACTTTACCCACAGGTTATCTGGTATATTTGAAATAGCTTTTTTTTTCTAATTATAAAAGCTTATTATAAGAAATTCAGAAAGGTATAAAGAAGAAAACCACCACCACCCAGGTAACCACGACTGTCATTGGGGAATATATCCTTCCAGGCATAGTGTGTGTGTTTCAAACAAAAATGAGATTTGTACTCAACATACTATTTTGTAACCAGCTTCTTTTTTTTTTAATGACTGTATGGAAGTATAAATCACATACCATAAAATTCATCCATTTTAAGTATCCAGTTCGATGATTTTTAGTAAGTTTACAGAGTTGTGCAACCATCACCACAATCCAATTTAGCATTTCCATCATGTGGCCAGCTTCTGTCACATAGTGTATTGTGACCATTTTTCTGTGTCAACACAGACCTCAGCAGCTTCATGAAGTTCCATTGTGTAAACATGTCATATCGGTATCAATACTAGTATGTATTTAGGTTTTTCATTTATATTTAAATTTGTATTATTACAACCTTGTACATACGTATATTTGAACTTGCCTGAATATTTTTATAAAATAAGTTCTTCTAAGCGGACTTTTTGGGTCAAAGCAGCAATTAAATTTTTATTTAATTGCCACATTGCCCCTCAGGAAGGTGGTGTAAATTTATCCTTCCACCAACAGTACATGACGGGTCTTATTTCTTCATACCCTTTATAAGACTGAGTTATCAGTCTTTATTCTTTGTCAATCTGATGGGAGAAAAATGATCTATTTGTTTTTCTTTGGGGTACAAAAACATTAGTCTTGCTTTTTTGCAATGAGTTTGCCGCCAGAACACAGGTGTCGTGAAAACTACGGGTAAATCTAAGCCAAAATGGGAAAGGAGAAGACTCAACATTATTGTCATTGGACACATAGTTTTGGGCAAGTCTACCACTACTGGCCATCTGATCTACAAGTGTGGTGGGATCAACAAAAGAACCGTCAAAAAATTTGAGAAGGAGGCTGCTGAGACAGGAGACGGCTCCTTCAAGTATGCCTGGGTCTTGGATAATCTGAAAGCTGAACTGAGCATGGTGTCATCATTGATATCTCCCTGTGGAAATTTGAGACCAGCAAGTATCATGTGACCATCTT